GACCTTGGACCAATTATTCTACTTCTCTGGACCTCGATTTTCTCATTCACAAAATGAGTCTTATAGACCAGATGACTCATAAGGTCCCTTCCAGCTGTCTCTAATATTATGATCCTTGCCACCTGTGGGACCTTGGCCAAATAATGTCCCTTTTCTGGGCCTCAGTTTCCTTAATTGTAAATTAGAAAGTTGGGCTAGAATGCCTGCCAAGTCCCTTGGTCCTTCCAACTCTAAATATTACAATCACGTACATCAGATTCAACTGGGATGGTGGTCTTTGTGGAACCCAGAATTGAATTTGTCCAGAGTCAGAAGCTAGAAACAGCAGGGGCCTTGAGCCTTAAAATCATCATCCATCAGCATTTATGTGAAAAGGAGTGATGCCAAGAAGAGATTGGGATGGGGAGAGGCTGGCATATAGAAGCTCAGAAAAGATACAGTTGTGATTCAGCTATAAGGTACAGAAATGGAGAGGAAGGGAGAGGTATGAGAGCCTTTTTGGAGGAAGAATTGGCAGGACCCAAGAAAAGAGGGTGAAGATAAGGATAAAGCAAAGATTTCTTCCTAATTTGGGGGTAGGGAAAAGGAGATGATAACTTCTGTTTTGAACATTGTACATTGAAGGTGCCTATGGTACCAGGTAGCTGGAATTGTACAACTGGAACTCAAGAGAGAAGTTAGGGCTGGAGATGTCAGGGAAATCATCCATATAGAAAAGAGGAAGGAAGGTGGTATAGAGGTGAAGTCATAAGAATTCATGAGCTCTCAGAACATAGAAAGGAAATAGGGCCATGGACTGTGGGAGAGCCAAAGTTGGGGGCAAGAGGAGGAAACAATTCTCTTCAGGCCAGTGAAGGAGTGGCCAGAGAAACCCAGGAAGAAAAACAGGATAAAACCATATTACAAAAGCCAAGAAAAAGAAAAATTGCAAGAGGGAGTGTTTAGCCATGTCTTGCCACTGCAAAGAGGTCAGATTGAGTGAAGAAAGATTCACGTAGAATGAGGTTGTTAGCCACCTTGGAGAGTGGTCTCCGCTGAGATGTGAAGAGTTAAAGAGGAGATAGCCCAAGGAATTAACAGTACCATGAGGCAGCTCCCAAAGCTGATGCAATCTTGGACTCAAGGGGAGCATCAGGGCTTCCAGAAATAAGAAGGTGATGGTCCCGCCTTACTCCATATTGGCCAGAACACATTGGCAGTGCTGTGTTCACGTTGCCAACGTCAATACGTTGGGGAGCAGTGAAGGGCAAACAGAATGGTGAATAGCCTTGAATTAATGCCGCGTGAGTATTGGTTAAAGGAAATGGGCCTGGTTAGCAGAATCCCGAGAGCTGTTTGCAAATGTTTGAAAAGCTGTCTTGTAGAGGACAACTTAGATGTATTCTGTTTAGCTGCAGAGAGAAGGACTGAGAACGAGTGGATGTTTGCAAAGAGACACATTTAGGGTTAGTGTCAGGACAAGCTTCTTGAGAATTAAAGCTGGATGGTCCCCAGATGGAATCAACTGCCTTGCAAAGTCGAAAGGCTCCCTGTATTTGTAGGTCTGCAAAGGCTGGACGGGCGCTTATTGGGTGGGTTATAGAGGGGCTTCTATTTGGGTGTGAGTTGGGCTACAGAGCCAGTGAGGTCCCTTCCTCCAATGAGGAAACTAGCTCATCTGTGATCGCACAGGTAGTAAAGAGCAGAGCCAGAATTTTTGAACTCGTATCTTGAATGCAATGATCATTCATTAGTCATTCCCACAAATGCACTTTCACACTTATTACCCACCCCCATCCCCACACACAACACACACACACACACACACACACACACACACACACACACACTCACTCACTCTCTCTCCCACATGCATGGTTGTCCTCAGACAGTCACACATTCACATTTAGATAGTACAATGGATAGAGTCCTAGGCCTGAAGCCAGGCAAGACCTGAGTTCAAATTTGACCTTACTTGCTGTGTGACCCTGGGCAAGTTACTGAACCTCTGCCTCAGTTTTCTTCAACTGTAAAATGGAAGAAATAATAGGATCTACTTCCAAGGGTGGTTGGAAGGATCAAATGAAATATTTGTAAAGCATTTAGCACAGTATCTGGCACACTGTAAGCACTTAATAAAGGTTATTTCCTTCTTTCATATGGACTCAAGGTAGAGCCATGTGACCTTGGGGGAAGTCACTTCCCTTCTCTGGGGTCTTAGTTTCCTCATCTGTAAAGAGAGAAGGTTGGACCAGCTAATCTCTGTCTAAGATATTTAGTTGTTTGTTTCTCTCACTTTTTTTCTGTAAATGTTATTTTATTAGCTGTCTACGTTCTCGAGAGACAGTAGATTAATAAGATGTGGGGGAAGGTAGAACAACAACATTTATTTGGTGACTTAGGTGGTAGGTGAGTGATCTTCCTGAATTTCTTTTCCTTGTGAATTATTCAGAAAAGAATCTTTTTTTATCGTAATGTCAGCCATGTTAAAGAGCAAGATAGAAACTTCCCTGAATTTGTGGGGACTGGATGGTCTGGGCACAGAAGGAGGTTGGGAATTGGAGGTCAGTGTCAGGAAGATCTTTCTAAGCCTTAACGCTGTCCCTAAGTGGAATGGGCTCCCTCTTCATTGGAAGTCTTCAAGCAGAGCCTGGAGGACCACTTGGTGGTTGTGGAGTCGTGGTGGGGGTTTCTCACTATGGAACATGTTGGTCTGGGTGGGCTTTGAGATCCCTCTCTGAGATTCTTATGTGATTTTCTGAGTATATGCACACATTCTTACTAAGACTCACACTCCCATCAGTTCACCCAGGCACTCTTATTTAGAAAACCTGCTCTCTCAAATAGCTGTGAGGTCAGCTATATTTCCACACAAGTGTGTGCTACAGAAGCACATGTACCCACATGTATACACACACCCACACACACCCACACCCTGTATGCAGACACACACCCCCATTTACAGATACACATACACACACACACATACCCCCCATATATAGACACACTCACACAGTATGCATACCATTGTCACTGTAATTATTTGACCCTGAGAGAGGCATATGTGCTGTCCCAGACGTCAGAATCGGTGTACAACAGCAACTCCAGAAGCCTGTGCTATTGCCCAGGCAGGAGTGGACTCAGGGCAGGGGGATGGCAGGTGCCTGGGCTTTGGCCTTGTTTCTGCTGAAGCTGACGTGATTCTCCCCAAGACAGCATTGGTGTGGAAGGGCTGGCCTGCAGCACCAGGCACTGAGCTGTTGCCATGAGTTGGACGCTCTGGGGCCTGAGTTTCTAAGTCCTGCTGCCTGCTGTGAAGAGCCATGCTGGCTAATCGCCCAGCAGGCTCTCTCTGCATAATTTACAAGGCAGTGGCTGGGAGCCAGTATCTACCAGTGGCACAGTTTCTACCTTGTGGCTTTTTACCTTTACAAGCCTGTGCTCAGGGCTGTTCTGCCATTGGACAGGGGCAGAAAGTAGCTCTGAGGAGGCCCTGGCATGGGAAGAAGTTCAGGAAGCATGTGCAATTTGTTGCCTGAGCTGCCCCCTCCTTCCCCTCTACCCTGACTTCTTATGAATGCTCCAGCCGAGATGTGAAGAGGCAGAAACTGAAGCAGGTTGGCCTGAGGGGAGAAAAGAAGAAGGAGGGAAAGCCTGGTTATGAAAGTAGCCTGATACAGTGGAATGAACATTGGCTCTGGAGTTAGAGATCCTAGGTTTAAATCTTACCTCCGATGCCTACTTTTTCTGTGGTCTTGAACAAGTCATTTAATCAGTCAACAAACAATTATTTTCTCAAGAACCTGCTATGTGCCGGGTGCTGGGAAAACAAATGCAAAGAATAAAACCACCCATCTCAAGGAGCTTACAATCTACCAAAAGAGACACCATGTGCATTTATAGAACATGCTTAATTAATACAAAAAAAAATTCCATGCTTGCTTTCATCTCTCAGAAGATGAGACGAGCTAGAGTCAGAAAACTTGGGTTCAAATCCCACCAATGACTCCTACTTACCTGGGTTATCTTAGATAAGGGACATCCCCCATGGAGATGTTTCCTCAGTTTCCTCATTGGGACTTGATGGATTTGAGGGGACCATAGATGCATTTCAGGACGTCCATAAATTTGGATGGGGAACAATTTTGTCTTCTTCTCAATAACCTTTAACTGATATTTCAATTTTTTAAAAATATTATTCTGGAAAGGGGTCTATAGGCTCCACCAGACTGCCAGAGTTGGGGACTGGGGGAAGAGGGTCCATAAGACATGAAAAGGTTAGCAATCCCTGGCTTATGTGGCCTCTGTGGGCCCTTCCATATCTATTATCCACTAGGGCCCTAGGATCCTCCTCTTGCTCAAGGCTCAGCCTGAGTGCTACCTCCTCCATTGATCTTCCCTTGGTCTTCGATACTAAAAGTAATTTTTTCCCCCAACATTGCTGAACTCTATTTGCTTCCTTTCCTACAGCCCCCCACAAGTCCCTCAACACCCTACCCTGTATTTATTTATCAGTGTACATTTTGTTCCCCCAGTAGAATGTAAGCTTTTTGAGGGCAAGGACTTTCATTTCTGTATCTCCAGCTCACACAGGACCTCATACATAGTAGGTCCTTAATAAATGAATTGCCTTTATTGAATCTGTGGTACTTCCTCTTATCCCATCTTGGCAGTACCTCATCTCCTGTTTATATTATGCCAACATGAGTGGGATTGGCACGGGTGATGTTGACCTCAAGCAGGCCAAGACTGGGCGGTATCCAACAGAGGAGTGTGTTCCCTAGATGGAACTCAGCAGTTCTTACTGAGCTCAGTGTGGCTAGGGATGGAATCCTGTTAGAGATATAGGTGGGGGCTTGTGGAAGCCAAGCTAGAGAGAGGTCTTGGTCAACACGGAACAACAAGCCCTTGATGCTTGAGAAGGCAGGTACCTGGGGCCTGACCACCCACTTAGGGTTGATGGGCCCACCCTGGGGTGCTGGGCCCTCAGAGGGCAAGCTTGATTGTATCTTCCCCTCCAGCTCGCAAGCAAGAAATCATCAAGATCACAGAGCAGCTGATAGAAGCCGTCAATAACGGGGACTTTGAGGCTTATGCGTGAGTACCACCGTGGGATTTCAGACGAACCCGGGGTCAGAAAGAGAGAAAAGTGTAGTAGTTAGTACATTCGAAGGTGGGGTGATCAGCAATGAGAGCGTGTTGGGCATGGTGTTCCAGGGGCGTCAGGGTTCTCAGCAGCTGCTTCCTAGGCACATTGGCACACAGAATGTTGAAGTTGGAAGCAGGTATCGAGGGCCTGTAGAAGTTCCCCAATGCACTTTTCCCAGAAGTATATATGTAGCAATGTCCCTAGGTAGGTCCAGGGTCTAGGTATGAGGAGAGAAGGACTAACACATTGGTCCCCCTTGACATGTCTGTCTCATTTGATATCTGCTCTGCAGGAAAATTTGTGACCCAGGCCTGACCTCATTTGAACCTGAAGCTCTTGGCAATCTTGTAGAAGGGATGGACTTCCACAGATTCTACTTTGAGAATTGTAAGTGAGCTTGGTCAGAGAGACTGAAGGAGTAAACTAGCCATGTAGACTTTTTTTTTTCCCCCTGTAGGAGATGCCCTTGTGGGAGGTGCCTGGAAGAACAAAGCTGCCTGGGGGTGAAAGGCTTTAGTACCATGGGGTGTGATGGACAAGTGAGGGGAATGTAATGGTGGCCCTGATGAACAGAGGGGAGCACATCTCTGGGCCAAAGCTGAGCTGGGGCTGCCCTCCCATAGTCCCTTCTCTATGGTACCCACTTCCCCCTCTGCCCACAGATTGTACCCCAGTGTCTCTCCTCCCAGGTTGGAGGAAAGGGTGGGAAGCTTCAGGAGGGGCTCTTCATATGCTGCAAGTTCTCCCACCTTTTCTTCTCCCTCTTCAGTGCTAGCCAAGAACAGCAAACCCATCCACACCACCATACTGAACCCCCATGTGCACGTTATCGGTGAGGATGCCGCATGCATCGCCTATATCCGTCTCACGCAGTACATTGATGGGCAGGGTCGACCCCGCACCAGCCAGTCAGAGGAGACCCGCGTCTGGCACCGCCGTGATGGCAAGTGGCAGAATGTCCACTTCCACTGTTCAGGTGCACCTGTGGCCCCGCTGCAGTGAAGGTGAGCACCCCTGTCCCACTTCCCGGTCATATGACCCAGATTCCCAAGGATGACGTCTTGATCACATAGACCATCAGAGCCTAGAATGAGATGCATGGGGTGGAGTAAGAAGTGCCTAAATGTTTGCTTCTCTGTCACACCATGGACTGGTCTGCTATCCCCAGAATCCTGGTAGTTTGGAGATCATCAATATAGATCTGGAATCCAGTCCAAACCCCTCATTTTAAAAATAAGGAGACTGAGGTCCAAGGAGGTTAAATGATTTGCTGAAGGTGCTGTTAGAAGTGGGATTTAGGTCGTGGTCCTCTGATGCCAGAGTGAGGTCTACTTATAGTATATCATCCTGCCTCCAGACAGGAAGCTCCCAGGGGTCCAGGCCAGCAGTGAGTCCTGTCTCCCTCCCAGAATGACTGTCTGTTGACCTATCCTTGTACATGTTTGTGCAGAGAACAGTGAAGAGGCCATTCTGAGCAGAGAGGAAAGCATGTGTTAAATGCAATATCATTCTTTGTTGAGTCATTTTCAGTCATGTCTGACTCTTCATGACCCCTTTTGGGTTTTCCTTGACAAAGATACTGACGTGGTTTACCATTCTTCTTCAGCTCATTTTACAGATGAGGAAACTGAAGCAAACAGGGTTAAATGACTTGCCCAGGGTCACACAGCTAGTAAGTGTCTGAGGCCATATTTGAACTCAGGTCTTCCTGACTCCAGGCCAGACACTCCAACCACTGTGCCACCCAGCTGCCCAGAATGCAACATAGCAAACTTTTATTAAGGACCTGCACAGGACAGAGCTAAGTGTGGGGGAGATGATAAGTTTTGATAAGACATGGTCCTTGTCCTCCATTAGTCTGATAGACACTATCTGAAAGGGCTATAATATACATTACCTATCAGGTGATTTTCTTCAAAACAAAGTACTACATAGAAGATCTGAGAAATGAGGTCATTACTCACTGGGGGAAAGCTTCAAAGAAGAGGTGACCTGTGTGATGAACTTTAAAGGATGGGTAGCAATTCAACAGGTGCTGAAGTGGGGAGGGTCATCCTAGGCATAGAGAACAGCACAAGCGAAGGCTCACGCCTTTGTCAGAACAGGTGGTGTCTGTTCAGGAGACAAGACAATCCAGTTTGGCTGGAGCACAGAGTCCATAGACGGGAGTAAAAGGAGAGGTCAGCCCAGATCCAAGGAGGGAGCAGATCTTGGACTTGATGCAGGAGGAAGCAGAAAAGTGAAGCTGTTACAGGTTCCTGTGCAGGAAAGTCACATTAAATTCAGTTCAACAGACACTTATTAAGCACTTACTCTGTGCAATTCAGCAAAGATTTATTAAGCATCATACAGGAAATGCAAATGTAGCTCTAACATGGGCCCTGGAGTTTACAATCCATCAGTCAATCAATCAGCAAGCATTTATCAAGCACCTACTACATATCAGGCATTGTGCTTGATACAGAGACAAAAGTGAAACAGGCCTTGCCCTCTAGAGGCTTACAGTGGGAAGCAACACCACCTTATTTTGTATATGTGTATACAAAATAAATAATGAGGTAATTTGGGGAAGAAGGCCCTAGTAGCTATGGGAATCAGGAAGGGCTTCTTACAGAAGGTGGCCCTTGAGCTGAGCCTTGAAGGAAAGTAAGGATTCTTGGAAGTGGAGGCAAAAAGGGAGACCATTCCAGGCATGGGGTACAGCCACTGCAAAGTCACCAAAGCGAGAGACGGAGTGTTGTATCCAAGGCACAGGAAGAAGGTCAGCTCGACTGAACCAAGTGTTTGCAGAGGGGAATTAGTGTTGCGAGCGAAATTCAGCAAAGGTAGACTGAGACACATTCTCTCCATGCAGGATACCATTTTATTGATGAGGGCACTGCCTGCCATTAAAATGTGTCAATGGCTCTGCCTCAGTTAGCCAAAAGACCCCAAACAGAAGGACAGCTCCCCTTTTTTTAGTTTTTGGAGAGTACTGAACAAAGAGCAAGACTTTGCAGGCAGAGAAAGAATACAATTGGTTATGGGGTTGATGACATCAAGAATGGAGGGCAACGTGATTGGTTACTAAGGAAAGTGGCCATACTCACATGTGAGATCAGGAGTACCCCTCTCTTAGAGGAATGATTTGTGGGACCTAGCTGCAGCCTGAGGCTATTGATAATGGACCAGCGATGTAGACTCACTGGAACCTGGGAATGAGATAAGACCACTTTTAATTAGGCAAGGATGAGGCTAAGATGGGGCAAGTTCAGCTTGTCTGCACCCAAGGATAGTTTCTTAGGTGCTGAAGTTACGAGGGACAACAAGCCTCCTTGGCACAAAGTGATTTACAGGTAGTGCTAGGAAAACAGCTCTCTTAGAATTAGAGTGTTTTGTGAGAGTATTGATTGAACTTCTAAACTTTAGCCCAGCAGTTTCTCTTTAATTAAAAGTGATCCATAGGAAAACTGAATGATGGCATCTGACTTGTGGTGGAAAGACTGAACTTTTGAATCCATGAGCATCTCCACTCAGAGACAAAGAAGAGGCTTAGGTTTGCCACACAGAATACAGAATATGGTTACAGAATAGAATCAATTACGGAATGAAATAAAGTATAAAACATTTATATAATATATATATAATATTTATAAAAAATGGATACAAGATCAATAATTAATTTTCATATAAGGCAAGAAAGATATATATACAAATAATTGTATTGTAAGAGAAAGTGAGAAAAGTGCAAAGCAGGGTTCTGGGCAGAGTTCTTGCAGAACCTTTTACCTGGTCAGGGCAGACTTCATAGAGGAGGCAGCATCTGATTTGGGCCTTGATGGAAGGGAGGGGCCTTGACAGATTAGAGATGAGTAGCACTGTTCATTCCAGGCTTGGAGGTGGCTGGCTAGAATAAGGTCCATGGAGATGGGGGAAGACAGCGGGCCCAAGAGCTCTTGCAATTTGACTGGAAAGCAGAGCAGGGTAGTAGAGCAACATAAGGTATGTTGGAGGCAGGTTTTGGGGAGCCCTGAATGCCAAGATCAGCAGGGAGTCAGGAGCCACTACATGCCTTTGAGTTGGAGAGTGGATCCAAGGGGTACATTAGGTAAAGGATTCAAGCAACAGGGTGAAGGATGGTTTAGGGAGGGGACTAAGGAGAAGCAGGGTTATGGGTTTGGAGTCTGCTACGGAGGAGATAAGAGGGCCTCAACAAAGGGTATAACATGGGAGTCAAGAGAGGAAGGGGAACAATATGAAAATGGTGTTTTAGGAAGATTAATTTGGCAGCTCTTCAACTCCACAGAAAGTAGGGAGAAGGTGCTGGGCAGGTGCTGAGGATGCAAAGACTGACCTGAACAGCCTCTCCTACCTAGGAACTTTCATTCTTCCAGAGGGTGCAACATGAATGCTGCAAATAGTAAATAAAAAAATTCATTTCAAGGAGGCTAACCACTAGGGCATCAAGGAAGGAAAGGCCTTGTGTGGGGGATCATGGCTGAACTGAGCCTTGAAGAGAGCCAGGGATGCTAAGAAGTGGAGAGGAGAAAGAATGGCATTCCAGACATTGGGGACCATCCATGTGAAGGCACGGCCCAGAGTGGGGATGAACATGGCCACCACCACAACTCGCCTTTCTGTAGTGCTTCAAGGCTGGCAGAGCAACTTTGCATATGTCACCTCATTTGGCCCTCACACAACACCCTGGAAGTCAGGGCCCGTTGTCATCTCTCTTTTACAGGTGCAAAAAAATGAGGCTCAGAGAGGCTTAGCAACTTGCCCAGGGTCACACAGTGAATGAGGTGGGACAGGATGAGGCAGGATCCAGACTCAGGCCATCCTGGCTCCAAGTCTAGCATTGCACCACCTCTAAGATGAAATATGATACCTAGAGAATAGCTCATAGACCAGTTTAACTGGAAAAGAAAGTGAGGCGGAACAGGACCAGAAAGGTATATATGTAGGTACCACATTGTAGAGGGCTTTCAGCACCAACCTGAGGATTTTGTATTCATTCAAGAGGCAACAGGGAGCTACCAAAGACTTTTCAGTAGAAAAGTGACATGGTCAGACCTGGGTTTTAGCTATTTCGGCAAGTGTAGAGCATTGATTGATGAAGGAAGAGAGCAACGAGGAAGTTGTTACAGTAGTCCAGGCAAGAGATGAGAAGGACCTGACAAAGAGTCCTAGCTGTGTGGATAGAGAGAAGGGGAAGGTTGGAAGCAAAGCTTGGGGGCAAAGACCATTTTATTTTTTTTGTCTCCATATCCCCGTCACCTAGCACAGTGCTTAGCACATAGTAAGACCTTAGGATATCTGTTTAGTTTGTTTCATTAAATTGATCAGAGATGCAAGAGATTTTGTAGAGGTAGAATTAACAAAATTTGGCTATTCTTTGGACACAAAGTGTGGAAATCTCCTAAAACTCTGACCAGGGTCCTATTCTCTCTTTACGTACTCTTGAGAGCTCCCTCATCGATTCAGTTACTGTTTCTGTGTAAACAACTCTAAAAAATCTGTGTGTCTAGCCCTGATCTCCTTCTCTCTGGGCAGGAAAACCATGAATAATCTAGCAAAGGAAACCGAGAAACGGTCAAATAGGTAGGAGAAGAAGCAAGTGAGAGCAGTGTCATGGAAGCCAGGGAGGGGGAGGTTTCCAGGAGTAAAGGGATGGTTGAAAGTGTCAAAAGATGAAGTGGAGGCAGAAAATATAAATAGCTCCCCGTAAATAAACAGCAAATGTGTGTGTGCGTGTGTGTGTGTGTGTGTGTATGTGTGCATAAATATATATACATATATATGTATGTATATACAATATATATAATATATAGCAGTAAATATCTGGGAGTTTGGCTGTAAAAGACAAAAGAGTTATAGGATGATAGCTTGAAGGAATGGCAGGATTAAATGAAGGTTTCTTAAGGATCAGGAAGACTTGTGTATGTTTACAAGTGGTGGTAAAGGAACCAGTGGATAAGGAGAGATTGAAAGTGAGAGAAAGAGGAAAAGATTGATGGGGCAACCTGACAGGAGAAAGGAGGAAATGGGATCAAGATTTGGGAGAACAGTCACCAAGTCAGACCGTCTTAGGTTAGAAAGGAGCACTGCCATATTGGAGATGGCTATCTAACTCCTTTTCCCCCTCCCAAACGCCCCATGCTTCTACTCTGCCTGAGGCCCTCCTACTTCATCTTCCCCTGATTAAAGCACCCCGGTGCAGCACAGTGACAGGGCCCACCTTGTGTTTCAGAACCAGTACATCCTTTTGTGGTTTCATCCTGACGGAGACGGTGATTGGAGCGGAGCCGCCACTCGCCAGGTGGCAGCGCCCACCGCGTCAGCATGCTCGTGTCTGCCTCGTCCCTCCCTCCCCTGGTGCCTGTGTCTGCAGAAAACAAGACCAGATGTGATTTCTTTTTAAAAAACAAACAAACACACAAACAAACAACCGGCAACTACAACAACAACAACAACAACAACAACAAAAAGAGGAAAAAAATATACCACGATACAAAAAACAAAACTAGGGAAAAAAAAAGCTGTAAAAATCACTGGCGTTTGTGGGGCTTCAGAACCAACCAGCTGCTCCTCCCGTCCACAGCTCCATGTGTGTGTCTGTCCGTCTGTTCCTCGGCTGTCTCGGGTGACCAGGTGTTGCAATGAAAATGTCCACAAGGCTCCACCCCCTCTGTTGACCCCCGTGTTGAACGGTGTTAGTTTGTTAGATGAAAAAACAAAAAACAAAAAACAAAAAACCAAAAAAACAAAACCCACAAAAAAACAAGCACTAAGGTATTTTGCATTCTCTCTGCCAACGCATGGGCCTTTGCCAGTGGTGTACTTGCACGTGGCCGTCGTGAGCTGTTACCGTTTGTCTTTTCAGGGACGTGGGGCTGCCGGCTCCGGGTTTTCCTTTGCCTTTTTCCTCTAGTTGGCCTGTGGGTTGCTATCACTTCTTCCTTCCTTCCACCCAACGTTCTTTCTTTGGTTGAGGAGGGAAGAGGCGTCCCTGGGCTCTGTCCCTCCTGTGCCAGGCAGACTGCTGGTCAGCAGCATGTCCAGGGTTGTCAGAAAGTGACTCTGGGCTCCCAGACTCTGGATGGGCTGAGATCCCGGCACTCACACTAGGGGACATCCTCTATGCTTGTCATCCCCCTCAACTAAAGAGCCTGTTGTCAAGAACCTCCTTGTGCCATATTGGCCTCGTCTCTTACTCTGAAGCCTTGAAGGCTGGTGATGGCATGAAGGGCGAGCAGCTCTGGGTGAGGATTGTGAAGAGTGCTGAGGGGCATGGCTGGGAGAGGGGAAAGAGATGGGGAACAGGGACATGCTGGGTCCTTCTGGATCCAGATATTATATGCGTCTGCAGGCTCAGGAGTGGGGGAAGCCTGGGCCAGCCAGCTCCCAAGTGCCCAAGAGAGTATGCTAAGCCTCACAGAAAGGGGAACCCTAACTTCTGGAGACAAAGCATTATCTCCTACCGACTCTCATTTCCTTTCCTCAGCCCTAACAGCTTCACATATGGGAAGCACAGTCAGAGTAATTACTCTGTTTGACCAGGATCTTGACCCCCCCCCCCAACTGACAGAGATAACTCAGGAGCCGAGACTCCCAAACAACCAGCTATAGAAAATAAAGGCTTTGGGCCCTTAGGAAATAATCTTTCTTCTTGCCTGAAAGCAGCTTCTGCTTCTTCCCTCTGTCTGGTGGGTCTCTGCACAGTAGACAGTGAATGTATTGACAGCTCTGTGGCAGCTCCTCTGAATTTGGACCCAGAGAAGTCTGTTTCCTAGGGCCTACTGTCTCCTTTGGTTCTCTCTGGCCCTCTATCGGGGCATTCCAATCTCTTCTCTTATCAGGATAAGAATTGACAGCTCACAAAGGTTACATATAGACTGAAGCCTTTCTTCCTGGTACTGCAGCCCCTGAAATGGGGATAGAGAGGTTGTTATTCCCCTTTATGTTATGCCTTTCCCCCAACCTAGATGAATCAGCTAGGTCTTGTGGAGGACTACCCGGGGCTATTGTGTGCTCTCCTATGGAGAGGCCTCTGGTGTTGTGGGATGGAGGAAATCTGTGGGGAGGCAAGGACAGTCTCCACCACTCCCCCTTCATTGAAGGTGAGAGAGAAGGAGGGAATCCTGTAAATGGGAAGTCGGGTTAGTCCCACTGGCGACCAGAGTGAGTCTAAGACCGAGCAATCATTTCCTCAAACTCTGTCCAGTAGAGCAGTAAGGATTTGAACCTGGCTAGGTGGTTGGAAGTTCCCTAGAGAAAAAGGATACATTAGGAAAGAACAGTGGATCCTCTTGTTTCCCGGGGCTGAAAAAACTGTAGACCATAAGAGTCACATTAAGCCCTGTCATTGAGTTCCTTGGCCTGTGGTTGTGGTTTCGAGTGTCCATATTTGGATGGAAAGACAGGGCTTGTAGACTGACTGGGTGCAACCCCAGGGAATCCCGGGAATAGGGTAAATAGTGTCTGGTTGGGATTTCTTGGGAGCTAGAGATGAAGGATGGTTGGGAGGAAAATGCTTCCTCCAGAGACACGACCATCTGCATCCAATCCCTGAGAGGGCCTTACTTGCCCAGTGGGGCTGGTAGGCTGCAGTGAGCCATGATTCTTAAGTTGGAAGAGGAGTCATGCTGGTCACGTGGTGGGTGCTCAACAAATGTTTAAGGATGGCTGCTGCTGCCGCATTAATCAGTATCAACAGCCATCTGATTCATTTATTGATGACCTACTATGTTCAAGGACCATGTTGATGGATTGATTGGGAAAGGACAAGGGCTAGATGAATAATGTCAGAAAGCAGAAAAAAAACAATGGGGATGAATGACTTTCTTCTGGGAACTTCAAGTGCCTAACTAGGATTGGAAAATTAAAGGAAAGATGCTGTTCTGGGCTCTATTTTCATTTCCCCCCGGGATTGAGAGAATATCCTACGGAATTCCCACTGTGGAAATCAGGGACTTGGGACAGGAATCGCACTAGGGCTACTTGGCAAGGTCAGAGAAGAAAGAGGAAAGAAACATACGTCAGTCTGTAAGGCCTGTGCCTGGTGGTGAAAACATCTGGATTTGATGAGAGGCCAAGGGTCAGAAACTGACCCCCAGACAAAATAAGGGAAAGATGTGTTGATGACTGGACCTATGCTCCTAGTCTGAGATTCAGAAGTGAGCATTGTGATTCTTATGTTGGAGGTAAGCAGTGCTAGAGGTGGGGATGGACTTCATGGCATTCTTTAGTCTACTTTGTACCCTAGCCTCAAAACCTTGGGGCCTAACCATGTCAGCCTCCAGTGTAGATCTCCCCATCCCCTGGCTTCTATGCTTTGAAATAGCATACCTTCATTGGGCTTCATTGATGATTAGAAGCAGAATTAAGGTGAGAAGAATTCATGGGCTCCTGCCCCCACCTGGTGCATTGTCCTGAGACTTGTCCCTTCAATCCAATCTAACAAGTATTTATGAGGTGCCCGAATGTGCACGAGGCATTGTGCTAGGCACCAAGGTTACAGAGACAAAACAAAAACACATCCCTGCCCCTGAGGAGCATGTGGAAAAAGGCATTTCAGCCAAGCATTGCAGGTTATCTTATCACTTTAGCCAGGCAGTCCCAAGAAGGAGAGATAGGAGAGAAGAGAAAACGAAGCTGGAAGGAAGGGAGAGCAAATGGCCACCAGGGATGACCTGGACACAGGGTGCTGTTACATGGTTCTTTGTTATTTCAGGATCAGCCGGACCTAGAGTACAGCTGATGGCCTGAGGAAGGGGAGGCAGCTTAGATCAGTCTGGGGACCCTGAGGATGAGACTATAGGCTGAGGTGGCTGCCCCCTCCCCCATGGTCAGGGAAAATTCAGCTGGGGCAATGCTCTAATGTCTCTCTTTGTCTTAGTTTTGCAAATGTGGACGGTCCTTCCGCAAGGGTTATGTGTTGAGGATATATCCAGACCTCAGGAAGGGGAGGCAAAGACAGCATGGTGGCAGACCAGGATGCAGAAATTCAAGGCCTCTGCTTAGCTTCATTGACTCATTCATACCTTGATTCAAGGTTTGGGGGGTGGGGGTGGGAATGGGGGTGGGATGGCAGACAATAGAGAAAATTGACTCTCTTTGGCTAAAAATGTGTGAGTTGCTCAGGGATGAGTGCCCTAGACTTGGGGTAGTTGACGGGCTGATTGATCTCTTGCTGATGAATTCTGGTCCCATCCTTTCCCCATCCCATTTGGGTGTAGCAGTTACTTAATTGATCCAATGAGAGCCAGTCTATTTGATGACTACTTTTGCCTAGGCCAGAGACTTTTGGGGGCAGTTGGGTTAGTTTTGCAGGAGAGTTTTCCTCCTTGCCATGCAAAGTACCGTCCTTAACTCAGTGCAAGTATTTTGCTGTGGCCATCTGCACTGGGGAAGAAAATATAACCCAGAAAATGCATAGCTGTTTGAGGAAAGGTATGTGGACAGTGATGAAATATGGGCCAGGAGTTAGCGTGGAGGAACATCTCAGGTGTGACATGCTGAAAGTCATCAGGTGGTATAGTTTATTTAACTACCGCATTCCTTCCCTGGCTATAGACCAGGAGTTAGGAGCACTAAGAGGTGAGAAACATGGTGTAAGGAAGCAGCCATTGATCCCGTGTCATCTGCCATTCTCAGAGAAACCCTGGAGAAATCCACCCTGGCCTGGCTCATCTCTGATTCCTACAACTAAAGTTCAGAGGTACTTTATAATGAACCTAAAGGCCTGGAAGGGTCTGGGATTCTTATGTTCACCCCAGAGTGCACCCTGACCCTCAAGGCTGGGCCAAGATTAAAGTCCTTTGAACCAAGTTTACCAAGTGATCCTGGGCTACTGGGAGTGACTGGAGTGACCACCTTCAGGTCCTGGAAGCCACGTGGCCTTTTAGAGTTTGAAAGGAGAGGGGGGGTGGATTGTTTACTCCACCAATTTTCCATCATCCTTTAAAGACCCAGAAGTTAGAACCAGCCTGACTTCCTTTGACCAAGATGGTTCCCCATGTCTTAGAACAAATGACAGGTCTAAAGCAATAGACTGGAAGCTTGACTGTTGGGGTGAAGGAACCATCCCTAACACTCATACCAGTCATCTTCCTGCTGTAAACATAACGAAACAAAAATGTATAGGATACATCTCCCAGGGTATGGCAAGGTAAAGGCTCTGCTCCCAGGGACCATAGACGCCTCTCAGGTAGAGCGCAAGGTGTTCACAGAAACTCAGCAAACCTTTGAGTCAGTTCCTGGCACAGATATTGAGCACCCTAATATCAACCCACGTGCATATAAACGTACATACATACACATACACAAAAATGCTTTTGTTCATAAACATGTCCGCACTCCTACATGGACTTGAGCAGTGATTTCAAAATGCACTTTTCAGATACCCCAAAATGTTTCTAATTAAAAACATACATCCTGGGGAGTTTTAAATTGAAGAGTGAAGTACGGCCTGGTAAGGACAGAATAGGTATTAACTCCAAAAAGAATAAGAATGCGTCTGAGCAGAAGGTAGCACTGCTTGAACAATGTAACAGTTTTGTTCACGGGGACTCTACGCATAGGCAAGCGGTGGTGTGCACCCAGGCAGCCAGCAGGCAGGGCCAGGTGGAAAGTGTCTCCTTTCCACACAGCCAGAATACTTCATCCATTATAATAGCACAGTCATAAAGGCCCTTTGGAATGGCTGTAAATGTTACACAGACTTCCTTTCTATGTCACATCAGAGTGACTGCCAGAAGGTGAATCTGGCACTGGGGATCCCAGCAATTCCTTTATCCCTTAACTACAATTCTATCCCCTCTCCAGATCTATTAAACTCATTTCTTTTCTCTGAAACCCCAGCAGATCTCTGGGATGAGGTAGGGGTTAAACTTCCTAACCCATTTTACCCTTCCAAACCCTAATGTCTTCCCAGTGTTGAGCATACACTCGAGCAGGTTGAAGCACTGTTGTGAGTGGGTGATGATAGAATTGGTGGGCACTGTCTAGAGGGTAAGGGTTAAGCCCTGACCACATTACCTGGATCAACAGGAAAGAGATTTCCTGGAGGGAGGAATGTTCTGGAACTTAGCTCATAAGGGAGCTTGAGGTTTGAAGATAGATTGAAAGTGTAACCTAAAAGTAGAAAAATGAATAGGTGGGCCGATGGATGGATGGATGGATGGATGGATGGATGGATGGATGGATGAATGAACGGATGGATGGATGGGTGGGTGGGTGGATGGGGAACTTGAGAGAGGTGAGGGTGATGCCTTAATCCTCCATGGTTAGGAAAGGGGAGCTGTGTGTAGCTCTCTTTAGATGGGATTTTCCCATTTAGTTTGCATGTGTTTGTCTTCTGGGAAAGAGTGAGTTGGCAGTGGGAGCCCAACAGAAGGATGGAAATTGTATAATGGAATAATTCTGTATAATGGAATAATCAGATGATCTTGAAGGCTGGGAGGGACCGGGCAGCTAAGACAAAGGCACTAGAGGGTGAGGACAGAGTAGGAGGTGAGAAGATCTGGAATCAACTCAGTGGAAATACAAATTGGATTAAATCAATTGGATTAAATCAATTGCATTTAATCCTGAGATAAGGGGCATCTCTCACTGGCCATATTTTTGCCCCATTCCCTAGAAGCCACCCAGACAACCCCCTAACACAATTCACTTTTAATTTAAGTGGGGATTTCTTTATCTTTTCCTCCAAATGAAGGAAAGTGAGGGGAAGGAAGGGGAAGAAGGATGGGTAATCAGGTGGTCCCTGGTTGAGAGTAAAACAGAACTCTGAGCCCACAGAGGAGAGATCAGGAATAGAAGCTCTTTCAGTGGCAAACCCACAATGTACACCCATTTCAGAATCACCAACAAAATGACTGGAAGGTACTGGGCTGCCCTCTTGTGACTGGCGGAGTTTTCCCTCAGTTTTCTTTTAAGTGATTTTTGAAAGTTCCCTGAATAAGAGGACACTAGGCATTTCTGCCTGGGGCCAAGTCTGGGCAGGGAGCTTTTAGGGTAAGAGAAACATCACTCCTGCTCTACCCCAACAAGGAGTGTGACCCAGTATTTAGCAGCAAAGGGGACCACGGAAAGCCTGTCCCACCTCCTACCCTTTTGTGTCCTGGGGCCTCTTCACTCTCCTTTACCAGTCATCTTGTTATTACTATGGAGCTGCGTGTCTGGGGTTATTTGGGGATTTTCGGGGGAGGGAGGAGGGGTAATTTTTTTTTTTGCATGACCTCTAAAGAGAAAAACCATATAAACCCAATGATAGCTAGGTATACATAACTTTTGGCATGTGTATATCTATCTATCCTGAGGAAGAGAACTTGATGAAAGATGAGCACTCTGCTCTGTGAATGCTGGGGGATCTTTCCTCTTTTCTGACTTTCTCTTCTTTCTTTTTGCTGAATTTCATTGTCTTTTCTTTCTGAGCCTTGTAAGTGTAAAAACAAAAATGATTCTCATTTTGTTCTGTCTCGGGAAACTGCAAATAAAACAAACAAAAAAATGGGACAAACTGTTCAGTGTGTGGTAGCTTGCTTTTTACCTTAACCTGGCTCTACCTTTGACTTTGCCTCTGGCCTAAGTCACCTTCGGCCTTTCCCACTGGGTGGCCTTATAAACACTGCATGCCTGCCCCTTTTCCCCAACCCAGAATAGTAGTCCTGGAAAAGTTCCGTATGCTCATCTGGGACAGATGAGAGCTGGCATGGGAGCTGGCCTTGACCCTTTGGTTGAGCTTGTTGGTGAGATGAATGGGACCATAAATGCCCAATGAAAGTCAGCATCATCACCATGAATTAAGAGTGAAGGCTGGCTCAGCTCTGGGTGGCTTTTACTCGTACCAACTCCTGTCAGTGCCCTAGGATGCCACTTCTCCCTAGGAAAAAGACAGTTCAGGCCAGCCCCACTAGCTCATCTCTTTATTTTGGATCTTTCTAGATCCTTGGTGCCCAGGGAAAGAGATCAGACACCAATTACACAAACAAAAACCACCCTGCCAACCACAGAAGGTCCCTTGTAACCTCCACTTTCTGTCTATGACATCTTCTAGTCTTCTCACTTTTACCATGCTCCCTTCCGGACTCACTGCACTTATGTACCAAGACCCCTCCACACCCTCACTATGCTGGGTTTGGGCTTGCCCTCCAGCATGAACAGGGACACAGCTAAGTCAAGTCCCCTGTGGAAGTCAGACCACGAGGGATAGACTGACTGTATCTGAGATGTAAAGGGGCATCAGGGGATAGTGGTTGGCAGTGATACATAATAGCCTGCCCACATATTTCCATGGTAACCTCAGAAAAGGAAACATTCCAAACCTGTTCAATGTTCTTTCAGCCACTGCATGACTAGAGGTTGGAAAGATGGACAATGATCCCATCACCTCCTATCCCTTTATCACTCTAATGCCCCCTCCCTCCTCTCAAAGCAGAAGTTGGCAGAGAGCCTTGGCCTCAAAGCCCCCACCACTCTCCTGTCACTTGCTTTCTCAATCTCTGTGGCCAGAGCGCAACTCAGTCACTAACTGCTGTCAGTCAGATGTTATTTTTAAATTCCATTTCCATTGCTTCCTCAGCAAGGAAATAAAGGCTTAAAAAAAAAAAGGGGCAAAGACAACAATAATCTAAGACATCTTTAACTTTGGGGACCCAAATGACATAGACTGATGGTGACTTAAGATCAACAGAAAGGGATATTTTGTTGGCTTAGCATCACAGACCTGATGCAAGAGGGCACACGCTGCATCCAGCACAAACAGGAGGGTTCCCTGAGACTCCTTAATGAAATATGTGAATGGGGAGGTTTTCTCTGTAAATGACCATTACTCCTGGCCAAAAACTCAAGGGATTTGTGTCCTTTATCATGCCAAGGGACAGATATGAAGTAGTTAAGGCCTGGCCCTCCCAGCCAAGGGACAGAGTGAAAAACCCATGGTGTCTGTCTCAGAGCACATGCAGTGTGTTCAGGGTTCAGCTTAGTTAGGAGCTGTCATGGGATGAGCCTACCAACAGCATCCTTTCCAGGCCAGAGTTCTCCCAAAGGACCTGAAAGAAGAGAGGGAGGGGATGTGCAGGCAGGCACTGAAGAAGGAAGAAGTGATTTGGCACAACATCCAGAACACTCTCCCTCCTCCTCTTCACTGAAAGTCCCTACCCAAGCCCCTGGGCACATCAGTCAGTAAGTGCCGACTGGGTACCGAGCACTGCTGGGTGACGGGGACACAGAGAAAAGAAACAGTCCTTGCTTTCGAGAAGCTAACACTTCACAAGGGAGACCAGTGCAGATCTTGGGTCCTCTACATAGCGTAGACAATTTTCATGATTTGCCGTGGCAACAAAACAAAACAAAACCCTACATGTCAGCCTTTTGGTAATAGGTTTTTTTCAAACCTAGCTAGGCTGGTGCCCAGATGACTGAGACGGTCTGTGGCTGTGTTCACTGTGCTCACAAGCCTTTCTAGCTTTGTAGGACTGGCTAGACTCTCACTGGCATAACCTTTTAGATTCTGGGGTCATTTCTGTGCCACAACAAGGCATCAAAGTTCAGAATTTCAGTTTTTATTGTGTTTTGCCATTTCCTTCTCAAGCTCATTTTACAAATGAGGCAATTGAGGTAAACGGGGTTAAGTGGCTTGCCCAGCGTCACACAGCTAGTGTCTGAGGCCAGATTTGAACTCAAGTCTTCCTGACTCCAGGCCTGGCATTCTATTTGCTGCACCACCTAGCTGCCCTTCAATATTAGAATTTAGAATTTTTGGAGAAATGGAAGTTCTTAGTTATTAAGTGAGATTTAAGGTGCTTAAAGTTAATACCTTACTGTATCAGACTTTTGTCTTTTTATTCTAATTTATATAGAGACTTTTTATTCTATGCACAGAGCACACCAAGATCAAAGATTTAGAGCCCAGGGTATGAAAGGACTTGCCCAAGGTCACACAGGCAAGAGTGGCAGTCCGAGAATTTGAGCCCAAGTCCTCTGACTCCAAAGCTGTCATTCCTTCCCCTGTGTACCCTATGCCTTCCCATGGCAGGGTAGCATCTCAATGCCAGGTTTTCCCCACATCTTTCTGTGAGGAGATGAAATGAACTGGAAAGGTTTTGAGCAGGAAAAGCTGGGGTGAGGGATATCTGCTCTTCAATTTCCTGGTCTGTTTCCCCAGATCAGTCTGTGAGCCCTGCAGCTCTGAATTCTCCAGGTGAGGTTGAGATGGCTATGTCTGCTTGAAAACTCAGCTAGGAATGTTAAGGGTTCCAGAACTTAAAAAATAAGGAACAGGGAAACCAGAAACTCAAAAATTACAATTACAAAAGGACTTTTCCGTTTAGTGACCTGAAGATGAGAGTTGAGATTACTGTTTATGATTTATTTTCTCTCTCTTTTCTTCTCTCTGACAGCTGTCATATTCCATTTGGGAATGTACACTGGCCTGTCAAGGAGGATCTAGTGGGGGCTCTATGACTAAGGTCACATAGTTCTTCCACAGCAAACTGAATTTACACAACTGAACATCCAAACATTCCTTAATGAACCACTACATATCCACAGATAGGTTATACCTTAGTTGTAGACTGAAGAACCCTAACATTACTGGTTAACCTTTTTGTTCTCATTTTTGGAATTTTCCATCAGAATATACATATTTGTGGCAAAAGATAAGTTGTTTTTTTTTAACATCAGTAATAAAGAGATACAAAAGACCCAATTCAGAAGTCAGGAAAAAAGTAAAGCCTCATTAAGAGATGTGTTTCCAAGACTGTCCTGGAAAATCTGAGATATGAAGTTGCCACAGGCAGTCTTAACGGGCTGGAGAGGGTGAGGGGTACTACCATAGCCTTTGACTGAGCACAAGTAGGATCACTGCTCTTAAGAGACTATATAGTAGGTGAGGCACAACAGAAGTGAAGAAAGAGGTCCTTTGTGATGCTGCCATCTTTATGTCACAGGTGACCAAGGCCATAAATGTTCTCATTAAGGAATGACAAGGTTGTTAGTTGTAGCAAGTCTGTCCTTTGGCAATAGGAAAAACATGTCTTACCTCCTACTCTGATATTCCACCTTATGGTCTCATGGTGGGGGAAAAACACCAGGCATAAACTGCCTTAGAGATATAATGGGGTAGGAGAATTGTCAACTTTTAGAGCTGGAAGGTAATGAAGAAATTCCTCTTCCATTGATAGAAATATTTCATCAACATTAACAATGTTTAACCACATATTCTGTGAAGGCTTGATGCTAAAAGCTCAACCAGAAAAAGACTCAACAGAGCTACAGCGATACCCCTGTTTTAACTCCTTTAATACCAAAGAAAGCCACAGGATCATTTTCAAATTTCAAGACAACTTTTATCCAGACAGGAATCTCTCAAACAGAACATACAGAAGTAGATAGCGATTATTAAAATACACTCTTTGCCAAATGATAAATGTTTAGCAAAAGCATTAAGTTAAAGAAACAAGAAGCTACAATAATGCACAGAAAGGACCAAGTAACATGACACCACTGCTGAAGAGTATCCTCCTACCCTCCCTTCCAAAAGGCATCCTGCTAGGGCCACGCCTCTTGCTCACCAAAGTCATGCTTACCGGAGATGCTGAGGCCAAGTTATGAGTGAAAGATTTTGCTTTCTCTTAGCTTTCAAAGTCAACGAGTTCTCTCTATTCATACTGTAGTACAAGCTTTAGACTGAGTTTAAAGATCTTGTACTGCCTCCTGTCATATTCCAAGGCAGTTTTCAACTCTTGGAACTATAACCAAGGGAGAAAAAGACAAAACCTGAATGGCATTTATCCTTCACATTTAAGAATAATTTGAGTTAGAGCTGAAAAATTAAAAAAGAAAAAATTTAGCCAAGTGATGACGGTAAGTACAAAGTCTACTTTTTGGCCATAAGTCTATGGAGTTTTAGCAGGGTTGGGATGGGCAGCCACCAAGGGCACTCCTTGAAAAGTCTGATGAACTTGAGGTTGTAGGTGACCCCATTCATCAGTACTGGCATTGTCATCCATCTTGTGGCAAGAAGGAAGAATAATGTTTCTAGGCCAATTTTGTAGTAGGTACTGTTATTTTGTAGTAGGTACTGTTACCTATCAGCCAGCATAATTTCCACAGAAATATTGATGCCAATTGCAACTATAAGGAAGTGGTATCCACTAAAACACTTACAGTTGAATTTGTCCCCTCAATAACCTAAATTCTCTAGTGAGTTTTATGCCTGTTGAGATCTGAGATGACACTAGCCTTGAAAAAAGTTCACAGGCCAATAAACACTTGACTCACTGCACTATCTGGGGCCCAAATATCTTACAGTTTGTACAGGCCTTCTATGGCCTTTGCCTTCACCAAGCTGAGCCAAGGGAAGTAATTTCTTTGGCAGAATCCCAAACTAACACTCAAATAAAAGATGCTCATCAGAGGATGCAGGATCATGCTGACTCAGGGCTTCTGTGGTGACTGGGTAACTTAACAAGTTGAGACTCTCCTTTTGCAGCCCAGTTCTGGCACACGAATTACTCTG